GCTTTTATGAACTCAAGTCTTATCTTATGTGTACAAGTTTTTGAGGATATGCAATCTTTCCACGGTTGTCAAAGTTGCTGTCTGTGATTTATTTATTTATTTATTTATTCTTACTTTATTGACTGAAGAAGTAGCTTTTATGAACTCAAGTCTTATCTTATGTGTACAAGTTTTTGAGGATATGCAATCTTTCCACGGTTGTCAAAGTTGCTGTCTGTGATTTATTTATTTATTTATTTATTCTTACTTTATTATTATTATTATCATTTTAACTGTGAAGTGCTTGTCCTGACACAGGCTCAAGTTGTTACCACTATTGGGTATCTCAAAGAAGCTCCGCAACTCATTATCCATGGCTTCAATGTGTACCACAAAAATCGTCTAATACTAGTAAGCATTTTTCTATTTTGGAAGTTATGGCTCTTAAATTGGCGTCATGCTCTGTATAGATCACATAAATGTTCCATTTTCATCCAAAGTCTATGGGTTTTATTATCCACACCATTTTTTGATGCACCATTCATGAATTTCTTCCCTGTTAACATGTCTGAATATCTTTTACATGCTGCTTGCAAAAATATACTTTTAGTTTTTACTTCAAGCGTGGCTGTTGGCATTCGTTATTCATGTATTCGACATAATAGTGTTTTTTAATCCTCTTCTGGACTTTTGTATTTTCTCTGAGTTAACTCAGAAGAAAGGTGTGGGAACAAAAACTCAGCTGTTTCACCAGTGATCTGCAATGTCAAAAGGCTTGGTTTTTTTATACATGTAGAGCTCGGAAAACCTAAATAATTATAGGAAAAAAGTTAGAAATGTGGGGTTATGCCTAATATTTATTATGTTTTTTCCATCTTCATATTGGTCATTTTCTTTCCTTTTTCTATTTTATACCAAGCAAGCATACTATACAGCTTCAATATTATACACAACCATGGTTTTTTTTTCAAGAGAACTGCACATTTTAAGATTATTCGTCCTTTGTCTTTTGTGCAGCCATTTTGGCAGGTTGTCAGATTTATAGACAATAAGGGGAGGGGAATTGTTGGTAAGAAACCACTAACTCTCTTAGATTTATTGGTTGTTGAGGTTACAAAAAAGATGGACTAACGATCTGTTAATTTAATTTACAGGTATTCTGGAAGCAAATTTTGTTGAACCAACACATAACAAACAAGATTTTGAGAAAACTTCCCTTTTTCAGAAACTTGAAACTCGCTTGAAGGAGATGACAATGGAATATTTGTGAGCTATTTGTTCGCCTATTTTTCCTGTTGGCTTTATACGCTTACAATCATGTCGAACCCCCAGTATACACTGATTCACACTACCGACCATTTACAGCGATCACCATTGCGCTCTAGTTGGGTATCAGGTAAAGACAAAACCAAAGCGACAATCGACCTCGCTGGTTTCAAACGGTGATGCACCTATCATATTAGATCATAATCCAGCTCCTATTGGTTTTACGGAAGTGGCACTTGGGAGACCGAGATCTGAACAATCACTTTCTAACTCCCAAAGCAGATATGAACAAGGCTAGTATTTGAATTAAGATCTCAAGTCGTCGTTAAACCTTATTGCATGGGGGATACAGCGTATGATACCTTGTTTGGGTGCAGGGTTACATACGAAGAGGAAGGAACATGGTAACTTTGACAATGCTGTGAAGTCTAAAAGACAGGCGGTGCAAGGAGCAAATGCATCTGATCATGGGCAACTCCTGGCCAGTGAGGTCTGTATAGGCAACTTTGAATGAATTTCATGAAAAAAAAACCCTTTGAGTGCATTCATGTTAAATAATTTTGTAAACGTGTTACATGCTTTTATAACTGTTTTATGGGCCAAGATGTGTGGCGTTTTGCTTTAAGGGAGGAGAGAGATAATTGTTAAACTTACTTTAAGAGTGTATGAGTCTAGATTTTTACTTTTACTCTTAATTAATACTCTTTTAACTAATATAATTACTTAATTAAAGACAATATTAATAAGAGTAAGGGTAAAAATTCAGATCCATACACCCTAAAGGGCATTTGTCTCCTTTCCCCTTAGAGAGAACAATAGATTTCTAATCATCTTCTCTTCTGTTTAAGTAACTAATATTCTTTTCTCCTTTTCGCGCTTTTTGTTTTGTAGCCTGTGAATACTACTGGATATCAGCTGGAAAATCAAGAGGCTGCGAACTTGATGCAAATAAACCAACAGCTACGTGCAAAGTGAGTACATGGATTATTTCTTTTTATTCATATTGAACGATCTGATTTGTTTCGATGAAAAATTTTGGCCACATTAATAGTAACGTCCCAAGGAAAAGCCCTCATTAAGTTGCTTCTCTTTTTCTTCTTTTTTCTAGATGCTTAGAATATGAGAAGGGAGAGGAAGAACTCGAGCTCAAGGTACGTACTACGTAGTAATGGCGCATGCAATTTCCGCACATGTTATAGAAGTTTGTGCTTCCTTCTAATGAGTCATTATTGGTGTTGCTTAATGTCATTCTTCAACATTATGCACTTTCTAAAACACATGCCTCTTGACATTTTAGAGCATCTCCGATGCAATGCTAAGTTCTAGCATTTGAGTAGGAAAATCACTTTTGAATGCAAATGCATTTCTTTGTGTTAATTTCATCATAATAGCATATGATGAATTTGGCATTTAATTAATATTGATTGGTATGTTTACCTTTTCATTTAATCAATATAATTTTTGCATTTTTCAAATTATTTTTTAAATTAAAAGTGCAGCAAAAAGTATATTTAACATTTGAAATATCACAGCACAAATGAAAATAACATCTCAAATATGCTATTATCTCACCTTTTGATTCCAGTTAAGAAATCGCATTAACATTTGCATTGGAGATGATATTAGAAACATTTGGCACTATTTTTCAGAACATGCATTGCATAGTTCATATTCAAACCAAGTTTATAATGCATTTTAATTGTCTGCATTAAATACAAAAAGTGAGAAAAAATGCACTGGAGAAACAACTTTTCTTTTATTGCTATTATTATTATTATTATTAATGATCTATGTAATTATGTTCATTTTTTGTTAATGCACAGGTGATACAGCTGAAGGGTGAGATAGAAGAGGTTGAAAATGAGTACAAACGGCTGTTGGCTGAATTAGAAGCAATGGAAGTGACCAAAACGGAAAAGAACGTATAAAATCTTATTCCATGACCATTTTGTTTTTTAATTCCATTGATCTCTTGTATTTATGTAACATTAATCATGTTGGATCAACAGTTCTCAACACCTGGACAAATTGAAAGCCAAAAAAGCCAAATGCTTCCGTCTTTTTTGGTCAAGGGCTGGTGTAAATATATGGTGAATTATTAAAGCTAAAACAGATGAGAAGCATGGGCCTAAATGCAATTTTCTCTGTATACATGAAGAGCTCACATTGATTTCCGGGGCATTTTTATTTATGGATTTTTTCTTAACTATTTTGGGTAATTTTAGGGGACGTTTATTTTTTATATTCGTCTTTGATTCTAAATCATAATTCATATTTTTTTATAATATTTTTTTTAAAAAAAATACACGAGAATAATTTTGAATTATCATTTTCCTTCTTAAATACATAAACTAAATGTTTAGGCAGGTCATTTTCCTTCTTTTTTTTTTCCCTTGAATTAAAACGGCTCTATTTATTTATTTTGCCAAATGGCAATTTGCATGGTTTGGGATAACCTGCACACGTCATCATAAATTCAAAACTATAAAAGGGATGAGCTCGGTTGGCTGGACGATCAACTTGCATTTTATTTATGCAACGTTTATACTTTGATCCTTTAATTTTATAAATTTACATAAATATCCCAAATTAATTATATGTATGATTCTTTTGAAACCATGTTGGCCTTTTCTTTTCTTTGACCCCCTTATTTGGACTAACTCCTATTCATATATCCCAATAATTATAATCAAGATTCAACATCACTTCCTAATAATGAAAAGATTTCTGTATCATCTAAGAGATCTAAAAACTAATGCAATTTAATAACAAACAGGTTGGTAATTCTCTTTCATTCATACAATTTGAAGACATTCTTGAAACATATAAGTAGCTTTTTGTATTTTTTTTAATTTACGTTTAACATAGCAATATTCTAAAAACAGTATTTCTTGTGATTACAATCGTAGTTTATTGATAACTTCACATCTAACTTCAACTTGAATTTCAAGTGTAGAATATTTAATCCCCACTTCAAGTTTTTTTTTTTTTTTAAGTGTTAAGAGTGTTTAATGTTTGTGCAATCAACTTATTGACCAAGCTCAATAATCAAGTTCTAAGAAACACTAATCCTAGTACAAGAAGTTATGCTAAATCTGTCCTTCAGCCACAAAAAAAAAAAAAAAAAAAAAAAAAAAAAAAAAAAAAGCGCAAATGTTTAAATAATTTAAAAGGAGCATTTATAATTTTGTAAAACCTCAAGGGTGTAAATGCAATTTCTATATTTTAACCCTATTAGCAAAGTTCTGCCCTAGAAGATCTCATTCCGCTCTATATATACATAATAAAACCCCTAGAAACCCCCCATTCTATTGTCTTCTCTCTTCGCCTCGTTACATAATTCATATGGGTTTTTTTTTTTTTTTTTCCTTTACTATTGTTTGTGGTTTGTTTATCGCCATTGAAGACGATCGATCATAGAAGCTGGGTTCGTACATATTTAGAGCTTTTTCTATTTTTTTTTCTGCCTGTTCTTTTTATTTATTTCAATGTGTTTATATATACTATATGAGATAAAACGTATCAATTTGTTTCGACTCTTTTTTGCTTTTCATTTTTACGTGCAAAAAACTTCCATCCGCATGTTGCAATTGGTTAGCATAGCGGCCATATTTTGCACATATTGAATGAAAAATAAAAGTGCGATTTTAATTGTGCTTTTCTTTAAGCTTCTTCTGAATGGGGTTTTATGTTTTTTTTTCCCCAGAAAACCCCTTCAGATTTTCAGCAGACATTTTACTTCTTGTATCAAAATACATATATAAATATATATATATATACATTTTTTTTATTGGAGATGTTTTCTTTTTAAGTATTATTGGTTTTTGTTGGCCCTTCTCAATGAAAGTGAAAACCCTTTTTACTTCCATGGTTCTGAAAGAACAAAAATAATTGACCTAGTTTGGAGGCTGCGTAGCAATTGTTCTTTTCTGAAAATAGTAAAAAGGTCGATTTTCCATGTATGGTAAACTGAAAGTGACGTGAAAAGTGAAGTGTTGGGCTGTCAAGTATTGGGCCGTTTGATCCATCAACGGAGGCGGTTTAGTGGGCTTTGAATTGGGATGGCCCGTGTACAAAATAAGGATATGTATACCCAGTTCATTTGCGCACTTTCAATTTAGTTTTGATACACAAATCCAGACCTTACCTTGAACAGTAAAACAGTAATTGATTTTTAAAATGACAATTATTTTTGAGAAAAAAGAGAAACTTTTAAAAGTTTGAATGCGATAGTTGATAGAGTTGTGTATTAAATCTATTTTTGTTATAAATGCATGTGATGAGGATTTAAACTAAAGTGCAATTTTTAAATAAACTAAAACATTTGATATGTCATTCAAAAAAAAAAAACATATGATATAAGATACAAGATTTTAGCCTGAGAGAGAGAGAGAGAGAGTAGATTTTTTTTTTAAAGAGATTTCTTTGTTAGATATTGAAAAAATGAATTAGTAGAGTGAGAGAGAGAGAGAGAGTAGATTTTTTTTTAAAGAGATTTCTTTGTTAGATATTGAAAAAATGAATTAGTAGAGAGAGAGAGGGGTAAACATGAAAATTGAATTTAGATTTTTTTTAAAGAGATTTCTTTGTTAGGTATTGAAAAAATGAATTAGTATATATCCATGCGTTGTATGTTCTACATATTTCTACATATTTTTTCAATATAATATGACTTTTACTAATTAAATGAAAAAATAAACTACTGAAATGGTCTATATTCACCTGTTATATTTGTATTGTATGTTTTGTATATTTTTTTAATATAACGTAATTTTCACACCTCTTATTTTACTCTTTACACTCCCTTTTAACTACAAATCCCATATAATTTTTGAATGATTAAAATTTCTTTCTACGCCACCCTATTGTTCCAAAATTGCCCCTAATTATTTTCATAGAATTATTTAAAATGGCATTATTTACACGTCTTTTTTTCTCTCTACACCCACCTCTTTGCTCTCCACACCCCTTCTAACTATACACCCTACATAAATTAATTTATTACTTTAATATTATATCTTTTTATTTTATTTTTTTTGTTAGAAATTTGGGAATAGGGAGGGCTTTTGGGGGGGTTTTTTTTTTTAAGTTCAATAGGGAAATAAAAAAACAAATTAAAAAATAAATGAAAAGAGAAATGAAAAAAATAAAAACTCAATTAAGCTGCATTATATTCGTTGAATATTGATCAGACTCAATATCAGACAAAAATGCAGTAAGATACTACCTTATGAGGGCAAGCATGATTTTTTTTTTTAAAAAAGAACTGAGAAAAAACCCCGTAGTCTAACATTATAAAAAATAAAGTGAAATGATTAACTCAAAAAATTGAATAGCAAACAAATAAGACACAAAACGAAAAATAAGAAGTAAAAAAAAAATCTTCATATAACAAATTATAAAAAAAAAATTGAATTACCTCCATGTAATTTTTTAGAATAGTCATTGAAAAGTAAAAATTATTTGCTATGTATTTTTGAAATAAAAATAGTATATAATTTAGGAATATAATATGTTGAGCGTGTAGAGAGAGAAAAAAAAGACTCTACTAGTTTCCGTTTTATAATAAAATTTAATTATATAATTAAGTCTATTGTGCTTTTTTGTCATTTTATTTAAGGGCATATTTGTGTTAAAAAAAAATTTAATTGAGGGGGTGTGGAGAGTAAAAAAGGGAGAGTGAATAGAACCGCCCAAAATTTTTTTTTTATCAACTTTGTTTTTTAAATTAAAAACGTCAAAAAGAAATAAACCAAGTAGAAAATGTATATAAATAAATGAATTTATGTTGGTTTAAGAAAGTTATTTTAGCAGAGAATGACATTGATGTGTTTTTGTTTTCTTTTCCTTATAGGAACTGAACACGTGGAATAGAGAATGTTGGATATGGAGACGTGAACATTTGATTGATCTTTGCTGGTTTTGAAATAGAGATAGGAAAGGTATACCAGTTTTTAGAAAAGCCAAACAAAGTTTCTGGGATTTTAGTGTAATCTTCCGTTTAAAGGAATGGAATTCTTAAAATAAAGGCGCATATATGGTTGTAGGTTTAGTTCAACAATAATTTCTCATCTATTATTAAGTAGAGTTTAAATTCTCTCGCTCCAAAAGCATGAGGAAAAAAAAAAAAAAAAAAAAAACGAACGAACAAACAAAGATGCTTAGTTTTTACAATAATAACTCCACCATGCATATATTATAGTGTACATCTGCAATAAACACGTAAAGTAGAAGCCACCCTTACAAAATCGGGATCTAAGAGCTTATAAATCTATTATTTATCTTATATTCATTTTATGTGGGACTTTTCCGTTTGGTAAAGGGATTCGTTTCCTTATTCGAATCATAATTCGTGGTTCAGTACAGTATTTTCTCTCATAAAAAATACACGTAAATCGAAAATAATTCTAATCTATGAACCAAACGGGCTTTAATATTCTACCATGCTTCACAACCGTCATCCACGGCGACCCATCTCCCTGCTAGGTGGCTTCACAGATCCTGACTTCTATCAAGTAGAAGCCCTCCCTAGGTTATCTCATCACTAGGCAACGGTCACAAAATCGCAACCCATACTACGTTTGATCCCATACTCGACATGGTAGTTTTGTACAATTCCACCATTAGGCTCAAATCAACAGCGCTCTACATTATCACCCGATGACCAGCGGTTGCCTTTTCCTCTTTGGTGGCTTGACAGCTTCACCAACACATCTTAATACAACCTATAATGCAACCATTTTAACTTGAACCCGCAACGTAATGGATTTGCTCTAATACCAATTGTACAAACTCATTAAGTAACACTCACCTCGCAAAATCTACTTGTAAGGGGAAACCCAAAAATTAATAAACCCACTATTTACCTTAAAACTATTCTATGTGTGACTCTATTGGAAGAATTTTATGTTATTTTAACTCAAAGTGTTATATGTGTGCTTTTTTTAAGTGTTTATATCTAAATTTTAATTAATAGGTAAATAGGTACTTGTCATTATTTCGCATGCTATTTGTTTTGTTACAATCTTATTCTCTTTTTTTTTCAAACTTAGAAGGATTAAAAAATGTTGAGTTTCATAAATTTAGAATTTGTAATTTTCACTTTATCAAAGAATCATAGATTATATTTTTTTTTATCTAAAATCCCTCAAATTCTCTCCTCTCCATTTTACCAAACATCTTCTCAAAAATCGAATGCATAAATAGACATTTAACCTAGGTGAG